GTCAAGCACCTCCCAACGGAAGGGAGCCGAGATAGCCTGCCAGCAGATACAGGTTAGTAGAATAGATCGCAAAAGAATCATTAAGATACCAATGCAACTGACGCGACTCAATAAATGGAGAATAAACAGGTTCCACGCCGGGCATTCCGAGGACACGACGCTGAAAAACTCGCCGTGAACGCCCGAGAGGAAATTAGCGTTTCGCTTGCCCGCCCGGATGCGTTCGCAGTTGCACGCAGACGCACGTCAGGTGACGCAAGTTGCGCCACCTTGCCGTCACTGTCTAACATTTCGGCTCGGGATTCCCTATTCAATTGCGGGTGCTCTTCGTCGCGAGGCAAAACCAACAAGAGGAGCTGACCTTACAAATAGCCACCGTGCAGATGGCAGGGTGCGATCGCTCACTAACCCGAGGGAGCTCGGAAACTCGCCCTTCAAGTGCCTCGGCCATGGCGCGACGTATCGCAGATTCGACCGATGTCACGCCTCGAGTCACGTAACAAATTGGTTGTAGTCTTCTTACTCATACGTAGTCACACAAGGCCAAAGGGTGCTTGAGAGATGAATGCTTTACAATATAGCTAATGCCCAGACTACTCTGCACGCATAAACAGGGGCGGAGCATAACACACCTCGCCATCCGCGTGGCGTTAGAAATAGACGGTGAATCTCGTTAACTTCGGGCAACGAATCACCTCTAGTATTACGCTGCTTCAAAGCACAAGTGTGTATCCAAAGACGATGTCTGCAGCTCCCAGTGGGTTCACACCCTCAGTGGGAAACAACCTCGAGAATAGTTTCCCATTTGTCTACAGAAACGTGGTGCCTCGTGTGGTGATGGCATCGCCAGTGCTTGTGGTGGCGAGTACGGGATCTTCCATCCCGCTAGCCGGACAGAAAGAGGGTCGCATTACCCTTAAGTCACTACGTGCGCGGTTCGGACGGTGAGCAAGCCTTTACCCGCGTTGTGGCATCTTCACGTGAATAGGGAGGTAGGGCAACATCGCCCTACCGGATCACAACAAGATAGGACCTCAACAGGCCGAGTAAGAACAACGGCAAGCATGCGAGTGGCAACAGTTAAGATATCCAATATCACATCCACCACCTGGTTTGCGAGTATCATCATCTTCACGTCACTGTGTCGAACGCGACGACGGGTTCTAAAAGAGCCTTTGTGGTCTCAAGTTGAGAAGTCCTATACCATGATCCCTCGATCAACTATGAGCATGCAGCGCGCATCTCTCAGATTGATCACAATAGGCTCGACAGCAATACGATCAGTCGAGGCTGAAGATCCACGTGGTAGCCGCCTTACATCAATCTAATACGAAAGAATCAACTCTCGACCTAACGAGTCATAATCAAATTCGTCGACGTAGATCCTCTACGAACGACGGAGTATAAAAAAAGACGACCGATAATAACAACTGAGTCAAGTATCCTCACTGAGGGGTATGGGGCTGATTTCACGCTTCGGCTCGGCTGCAATCAGGTCTTCATCTCGATGGGCGTGCGTGTGGAGCTTCTTCAATGGTCCAGGCAAGTAGAGCTCGTTGTAGCTCCGAGGTATGCGTGGTAGAACTCCTCTCATACGGAGAAGCTCGCAGACGAAGTGACCAAGGATGACGACGGCAAACCAGACACCAACTCCTATCAGCCAGCCGACTTGAAGTTGAGCGAGGGGTATGCCGAGCATGATGTTGACAATACCCAGCAGAAGTGCAGCGCGACCACCAATTTGGTGAAAGGCGTTGAAGATGTACCTCTTGCCGTAGTCAGTCTTACAGAGAAAATTTCGTCCTCGAGGATGGCATCTGAATGCCGCATTGATCGGCTGCAAACACCCGAGGATGAAGACTATAATACCAATGTACGCGTGAGCAAAATCGAAGGTACCGCCTGTGTAGAAGGAAGCGATGAAGCCAACAATGCTGAAGACCAATCCGATACTCTGCAAGGCCAGATGAGCCGGCCAAGCGAACTTCTTGTGACGAAAGTATCGGAAAATGAACGCCCCAATCGGCAGGCATAAGCCCCACGCGGCGAACATGAATATACCATGCAACCAAATCCAAGAGAAGTAGAACCATCCGCTACTTATTGGGCTGCCGGAAGGACCGCCAGTGAGCATCAACACATGACCATTGATACGACCACCGAAGAGGAGCACAGCCGGCGGGTTAGTGCTTGCCACCACCATACGGTGAAAGGCGATAGCAGACGATTGCGGTGTGAGTCCGGGGACCCCACTGGGCAGCTCAGCTTTGTAACTCTCCCAATCATTGGTGTTGAGATCGAGAACATGGACATCAGCCGGGGTCTGGTCGGTGATGCTGATGGGCTGGTCAAGATCAGGGCCGGCTCCACCGTACATGATAACTTTATCAGTACCCCAAGCCGCAAGGTCTCCGAACACAGTTGGCACCGGTGCATCCGCCTGACGATCCCAACTCATAGCCTGGTCGAAGGTCCAGGTATCGTAGGCTGGGCACGGGCCGCCATGTTTACCACCATTAGCGCATCCACCAAACATGACGAACTTGCCGTAGTTGGTGTCCGGAAGGACGGCGTTGCCAACAAGACAGCGCGCATGAGGCTCGTTTATACCGTATTGGAAGGTGTCCGAAACCTGAAGACACAGGCAAACTGAGGACATCTGACGACGTCGAATGTGCGGAGTGCTGAAGCACCTCTTCCCATGAGCCTCCGCTGGTGTTGGAGAGGCGAAATCGAAATGTATCCCCAAATCGGGTGGCGCCGTCGAATCCGAGGCTTATATAGATATAGCCGTCCATGGCCAGACCACCGCCGCAACCGTACCTACTCGAAACGATACTGTCACTAAGAGGTGTCAAGTGACACCCACCTTGGTTTGAATGAGCGGGTTGACTGCGCGTCGATCCTACGCCATTGTGGATTTGGGCCGGCATAGTCTACCAGCACCCAGAGGTCGTTGAAGAAGACAGGGGCGGCATCGCCGGTGGAGATGGCGAAAAGACCAGTCGCCACGTCATAGCCTGAATCAACGAACACGACACTAAAGGCAACAGCGTGGCCGAGGGGAACACCCTTACCAGAGATAGCATCGAAGCGAGCAGCAGGGGGGTTAGCCACATTGACGAGGGTCCAGGTTTGACTGTCCAAGTTGAAGTACCACGTGTCCTGGAAGAGGGAGCCTCCAGAACGGCCACCGAAGGAGATCAGATTTCTACCTGACACAAGAAAGCAATTCAGCCGACTCCTAGATGAACGCCCAACTCACGAATAGGATCATAGCCGATGGCCGGCCTATCACGGGCACCGGGCCCCCCACCATTGTCAAGCACTTCCCAACGAAAGGGAGCCGAGATAGCCTGCCAGCAGATACAGGTTAGTAGAAAGGCCTTCAGGATTATCATAGGGTACGAAACTGCTCAACAGTAGGAGTTGCACGTCTTCATTCACGTAGCTCACGTCAAAAATTGTGGATTGAATTGCTAACGTGAATACATGACAAGCTTCCCATCAGAGCGTGCCATCTACAAGAGATCTCAGGAAACAGAAGCTTATGCTATGGCAAAAATCGAATCCGTTGAGAATCTAAAACTGCCCGGCGCGCCAAGATTCGATGACTCGCAGTAACAAGACAAATTTTCGGTCCAAAAACACTCTGTACACGCTGTATCGCCCAAGACAAGTAGCCGTGGAAAAGAGTGCACGCATCGTCCAGCGCATCTTAAACTCAGCATCGTGTGGCTATTTGAGACGGGGCTCAAGAGCGGTGAAACCGGACTCGAGAGGAGTTACACAGACAAGGCGATCTATAGCGTAACCTAGAACGCGTACTCATGCACGCGAGTGCACGGCGCACAACGAGACAAGTACACTGGTAGTTGTTAGGGGAGTCGTAGGAGCACTAACGATAGTAGGGCCAGTCCACGATTGACGAACACGATAGGCTGGGAAGAGCCAATATATAAAAAGGGGCAACTACGATATGTGCGTGATGAACTTCATATGTGCACGCATATACACTGGCGCGCCGTAAGTAAGCAGCAGATGGTTGTCACTATGGAGACTCGTCTACTAACCACGGCATTTTCAGCTGCTTCGCACATACTTCGCAGCACACCTTCCACCATGAGGAGGGGGCCGCCGCACCGCTCCGCTTTGGGTCCTCGTGGTTGCCCTTGAAGCTCGGCCAGCGCATCAGACTGATGGTCGTCTGAGACGTCAGACTGAGAACGTCAGACTGAGAACGGCTCTCATGGATGGCGCTATGGTCGTTAGATCTCTTGAGTGATACATTGTCCCACAGGCTGTGAATCAGAGCAGCACGAATGAATTTGGCACTGATAGCATGCACTGTAGTGAGGACTATCTCTACTGCTCACTAACTACGGTAACTCGTATCGTTATAAAACCTCTGGTGTCCGAGGCGGGACAAGGTGTGGCAACCAACTAGCGTCGCAAACAGGACCTCACGACGGCAGAAGGGTAACGCGGAGGCAGCAAACTGTGCCGTGGCCGAAGGCGTCACCACAAATGGCAATAGCAGGCACAAGTTGCCTCTCAGGAACCTCGGTCAAAAAAGTGAGAGCATTGGGAGGACGACGACCGTCGAATCGAACCGTCGTCGACCACCTGACGGCTCGAGCCGGCGCTCAAGGCACTAGCTTGCTAGCGCGGGAGGCGAAAGTTGGACTCGAGAGGACGGTGGTGCAACCTTACGTGTAAGTGTACACTACACTAACAATGACGCTCTCACAACTGGAAGGAGTTTCGGCGCGGGGTCAGTCGATATTGCACTTTCAAGCCGGCCTGTCGTCGTCATCGTCGTCATCTAATCCGATCTGTTGAGCGGCGTAGAGTCTACGCCGGACTCTCACGGATATGAGGGTAATTGGTCACTTCTTGGAGGGACTTCGTCAGGCACTTCCGCATGCCCGATGTAGATGTGCTCTCGCAGCATTTCAGCTGATTCGACCTCAAAGATTTCTGTGGCGATTTACTCATAAGCCGATTTAGTTTGGTGGCAGAGCGTCAGCCTTGTAAGCTGAAGATCGGCGGTTCGATCTCACCGACCGGCTTGTGTTGTTGCACTGCGACGTGGAGAGTTCTTCGGGAAAGTCAACTGGGTGATTCCATTTTTATTGATACTTCGACGTCCTCAAGTGCCTTTCAAGCTGGCTGAGGTTATTCTTCGCTCGCCCCAACCCCAACCTCCTGAGAATCCCAACCGCCGAGACCTCCCTATAGAACCCAATGGTCTGTCTGTAAGAGAAAAAACTCATTCCGAGCTGATTGCGAGTAGTATATGATAAACTAAACACCACCAAAGAGCTTCCGGTCATGATAGACCACAGACTTCCGCAAGAAATCGATCCACGAGCATCGGTCGATGTGCTGTACAGTCCCGTCAACTGAAGCTGTGGAGAAGATACTCCGTGCTCGAGGGTCGTCGTATCCTGTTGAAGCATCTTTCTATGCGCGCACAACATTGCGGATATCCCTCAGACTTACTGAGGAGCCTGTTGCGAACAGTATACATTGCGTCCTTAGCGGCCGCGTCATTGCCATTAACACCACAGGTCCATCGAGGGCATGGCTCACCTGAAAGTGAGGACGTAAAGAAGGATCACCGAATAATTTCCGTTGTGCGCAATTTGATTGTGTCGCTCCGGGATTCCTCCTGTGATTGTCTTCATTGCTAGCCTAGCTGCCGTATTGATGCTATTACTGTAGTTATATCTCAAGAAACCACGACTGTAAACGAAAGGAGAAAAGGAAGCCTCTCTGGTTAACTGTACCCCTGAGGAGAGCTTCTTGACAATCTGTCTGATTGCACTGCATGTCAATGCTACAGAAAGTCTCCAACTGACCACATCGGCTTCGAGTCTAACTAAGCCGGAACCGGAGGCGTTGGACTATAAACTCACACACACGCCTACGGCTGGAAATAGGATAACTAGGGACAGGAAATAGGTAAGTAGGATAAGTAATGGAACAGATAAGTAGGGCTGGAAATGGTGTATAAACTCACACACACTGTAAACGGCTTTTGTGGAGTTATCCAATCTAACACCCGTGTGTGTGTTCCGTGAACGAGAGTAGTTTTTTTCTGGTAGGGATTAGGCGGGCAATGGGGTGGGTCTTGAGAGAGTTCGGCCGCTCTTGAGGGAAGGCTGCATGGGGAGTCACACACCCATCCAGACGTTGTGCCGAAGAAAGCTCAGCGAAGGGTGATTCTGCTGATGGCCAAAGCAATGGATAGAACGAGGGACACTGATGAGCGCTATCACAGAATCGGACACCTACCTTTTGGAGTGTGCGAGTTTAGGTGTGATTCTTATTGCTCATCAGCCACTGAAAATGCCTGATAATCGCCTCTCAAAGATCCCGGATGAGTCTCTCCCTCGGGCATCGCAAGCATCACGCGGTTATTAGCATCAGCCGTTCCGCGTGTGAAGCAGACGATTAGTGTGAGCGTACTGAGCCCATGAGTGTTGGAAATTAACTCCTATGAGGAGCAATAGCGAAGAATCGATAAAATTTCTGATTTGCTCATCGAAAATGCACAGTCTGTATATTGAAGCCACACAGACGAGACGCCCTTCTCACCAACGACGAATCTATCCACGTATGTCGGTGGCCTCGGTAAGGGTGCCTCTCCACCGCGCCACTGCCATCTATTTCGGGCATCCTTATTGTTAGCTACGACCATCAAAGGACACACGCCAGTCAGCACGTCTTCTCTGACGTCAGTGTTCCCTTCAAAGGTGCTCAGCGAACGGTCGCGGCAAGGCGAAGGGAGGGCTTGGTCGCTGACACGGATGACGGTTAACAACACAAAAGTAGCATATTCACTTTCTCGCCATTACCTGTCTTTCTCTGGAAAAACAAAATCGAAGAGCCAGCCAGTGAGAACACTACGAGTTGCGGAACGGATGGTATCGAAAACTAGTATCATCCCATCGGGGGAGGCCTCTGGCGCTGTGAGAAGGTCCAGGCTGACCTCAGAAGAGCAGCTGATTGTCCAGAATTCAATCGACACCTGAGACTGACCCATCTATGCTGTGACGATGATGATTCTGATACCTCCCGCGTTAAGCCATCTGGAAAGGCTAATACTTGACGACCGACTTCGACTGTGGGAACGACAGAAGAGCCTTCGGTTGCCGTTCCGAGATAGGACGTGCTCGGTTCACCTTCCGCAGTGCAGAGGGCTCTGCAATAGCAATAGACTTTCTGACACCTCTAGCTGTGAAAGTAGACACCTGCATAGAGATTGTCTTCCTGTCCCTGGCTCCCCAGCTACGATGATTCTCAGGTTGACAGGTTGGTCCTTGCCCATGACACTGAGTGAAGATACTTGTGGTAGATGTTGTTCAATAGGATTCACACCGGTATAGGGGTAGTGCTCTATCGACGATGACGATGATGATACGGGATCGCGGGATGGCCATAGTGATGATAAAATCTTCATTTCCTCCGTGCAACAAAATAATTCTGAAACTCAGAATCGATTTTTACACGCAAAATGCTGTTCCAGTATCGATTTTGGAATTGATTTTTATGAGTAGAATGATGCTGTTTCCAGATTCGATTCTGAGTTTCAGAAATGGTTCATTGAAAGACCCCATCGTCTGCGTAGGACTTCGGTAGGGCTCTTGGTGCACAGCCCCCGTTCAAAAAGGTGATTCTGACACTAAGAATCGATTCTAGAGTTGATTTTCACACGCGGGAGGTTTTCGAAAAACTAATTCTGAAATTGAAGTGGATTCTGGAAGCACCCTCGTGCGTGTAAAAATCTGCAGCTTCATTCCTTTTTGAGAGTCCCTGAGCACTGCGTCGATCGTGAGGTCGATTTCTACACGCTGAAAAGATTTCCTAGCTCAATCGTGAGCGTACTCAGGAGTCAGCTTACTGAGCGCTCTCAGCATGTCATCAGAAGCTTCCTAGGCACGGCAAGTAGTTCCGCCACTGGTAGGGCGTCGAATGGCAGCGTGGTATCTTAGGTTGATGACGGAAGAAGACAAGATTTCTGTTAATAAGCGGACGGAGACCATCAGGGTTGTATTCAAAATTATCAAGCCATCACACACGGACGAGTGAGGTCAGCCCTTCTTCAGCAGAAACATCACCAGGGACGTCAGTAAGGCAGGAAATCTTTTCAACAATCTGGGCGCGCGCGTAATTTCGTGGCGCGTGACGATCGGTATGTGCAACTTGTTGATTCGATCTACTCATCCATCGTTGTTGTAGATCTCCTTTTTTGATGTTGTCGAGGCTTCTCACAGCTGCTGCCCCGTCCTCGGCCGTGGTCCAAGGTGGCCCTACTCTCGCTAGATGCCTTGGAGCCGCTGCCTTCAGAAGATGCTTCTCGTCGGCTCAGACTGCTGCTGCCGCTGTGACCAAGACTGAAGGGAAAAGTGAGTAGCCCTCATAATTTGATGACGGCACTACTTTCCTATGTGTGCTCTGAATCGTCGATGGTCGAGTGGTGGTTGGGATAATTTTGAGCTGTTCCTGTGAAAGTGGCAAGAATCGTAGAGTGATTTCAATCTTAAGTGCGGTTAAGATCGGTATCTTATGCGCAGAGGTATCTTGAGGTCGTGCATGTAAGATACAGAGTAGGTTGAGTCGTGTACCATCACACATCGGACCGAACTTTTCTCCTTCCCGCACTTATCATGGTTGAGGTACCATACAAGGGACTTCGTACAACGTGGTTAAGTTCAAACAGGAGGATGTCGGCGAGGTCGTGAAGGAAGTCCCCCACTTCCAGTAGGAATCTTTGAGTATCTTTCGACCTCATCATTGACTGCCATGATAGGTTTTACTACATCGGTGGCGAGCACAAGGACAACAAGTACCGAGATGTGCCCCTAGACATACCCATCCTCACAGACGTTCCGGTAACCACCCCTCGACCGGTCTCTGTTCTGACGTTGGCTGCTCCTGCTGGCAGGCCCCTCAACTGAAGAAACCCGAGATGAAGTTCTCTGTCCTCGAGAACGGCATGCGCATCGTGTCTGTGGACAAACAAGGGGTACTGACTACCTCATCAGCGACTAGGCAGTTTCTGTCTTCATCGTCAGTTGACCGCCAACCTCGGTCTGTTCGTGCATGCTGGCAGCCGTTTCGAGACACCAGCTGAGGAGGGCCTCTCTCACATGGTCGAATGTGTTGCCTTTCAGGTGGGTATCATCACGCCTTGCCGTATTGATACCATCTTTTCCCCAGATCAACTGCCCACTTATCGCACCTTCGCACCATCAAGACCATCGAGGTCCTCGGCATGAATGGAGGTTGCCAGGCTGGTCGTGAGCACATGATGTACAACCTCGAGCTCTTGAGGGAGTATACGCCCGTGGCCAGCACTCTGGTCGTTGGGAATGTCTCTTCCCTCGACTCCTCCCATGGGAAGTCAACGCTTGTCACAAGGAGATCAAAAAGGTGATGGTATCATGTTCTTCGCGTGTCTGGTGGAGACTGCTGTATCAGGCACATGAGCGACTGAAGGCTGATACTGATCAGTATGTCTCGGAGTTGCTGCATCAAACCGCGTATCACAACAACACCCTGGGCAACGCTCTCCTCGCGAACGAGGGAAGGTAGTTGTCGTCTTGCGATTTACTATTGGTGTGGTACGAGTGTTGCCTGTCAGAGCCCTTGAGCACTTCACGGGTGACAACATCCGGGAGTACATGATGAAGCATTTCTCGGCGGAGCGGAAGCGTTTTTGTTGGTATCAATGTTGATCATGACGAGCTGTGCAAGTGGTTGATGAGAAGCTTCGCGGAATGTAAGCCAAAAATTTTCTCGGTCGTCGTTGGATCGCTTTTTGCCGCAGACGTTGCGATACCGAACTTACCGCGTGAAGAGCCGAAGCCGATATACACCGGCGGCTACAAGCTCGAGGAGAACGCGGACATGCCGGTCTGCAACATCGCCATAGGTTTCGAGACTGAAGGCTGGAACTCCGCGGATCTCGTCCCGGTTACCGTCCTGCAGACCCTCCTAGGTGAGTTTCCATTACCATTAGTTTGATGGAGGCAGTGTATTGGTTAGGCGGGGAGGTTCGTTC